TGGAGCGTCCACAAAGGATGGCCACCAAAATGGTCAGGGGGTTGAATCGGTGTTCATACGCAGAGAGATTGAAATCACTGGGGTTATATTCCAATAATTACCGGCGCATCAGAGGAGATATGATTATGGTATACCAAATAATGCAAAACCCAAGCAATCCGTGTCACCCGCTTCTGAAATTATCACCCAACGTTCATCTTAGAGGACATCCATTTAAACTAGTGGTCTCAAAATGCCGCTTCGAATTCTGGCGTCAGTCATTCGCAGTCAGAGTGTGTTCAATCTGGAACTCTCTACCATCCTACGTCGTCTGTGCTCCAAGCATTGAGTCTTTCAAACTGAGGCTCGATGAAACATTAGCACATATTACATTCCAACATAAGTGAAGCTGCGTGCAACATTGAAAAAAGCACGTATCGCGTGACATTTTACACAAAGAATTGTATGTATCACTGTTTCTTACTCCACCGCAAGAACCTATGGGATGAGAAAAGCATGAGCTTGTAAGTTATTCCCATAATAAATCTTTGAATCTTTGAAGTTCCTTTGTTTTCGTTCTTCACCTGGAGCATTTGTGACTTTCAGAAATTCGATTTCGAAATGGACTAGGTGATGTGATACGTACTGTATTGAAACAATTGTTTTTCATCTGCGGTTTTACTAAATAATAATAACGAAATTAAACTCATCTCTGGTTTTGACTGGTTGACGCTCTTGGTCGTTAACTAAAGTTCAGATGAAGCTATTCACTTTACTAACTGAACAACAAATTTTCCATGAAAAAACAGTTGCTTCACTGATATACCGGAGAAAAATTTCGAATTCATGAAAACGTTTTTCATCTTGTTTGACTGAAACTGGAATCAAATTCAGCTACGAAAGTATACTTCAGTACAGGTGGTCATCTCATGTATGTTCTTATTAGACCTTATCCTAAACTCGTCAGGTGTTCATTACTGTAATTTTCCGTTTTCAAGGTACACTACTTAATTATACTTAGTAAGTAAAACTTAATCATAAATTACTGAACGCATACGCAAACGCATATGCAATCGGCCAGATACGTCGCGTCTATCCCTGTGTTCTAGGCAATATCTGTGTGTATATATGCATATATGTATTACAAAAAGGAGTGTATTAATGACTGGAAAAAAATTTCCTTGGAAGCACAAGACCGGCTTCGCGGTTCTTGCCACTCGCCAGGCAAGCGTATACTGTAGTCCTTTGTCTTTTCATTCATATGCCTGCACCCAGGAAATGTATTTTTCGTCACAGTGACCTATATATGTGTATATATGTATACATATATACATATATAATCGAAACTAGTGCAGATAGCTGATAAAAAACTCACAGTATTCCACCACTTTGAACTTTCGTTCCGCGGCAAAGCGTTCGTGTTGTGCTCGAATAGTCCAATCTCCTTCTTGAACAATGTCAGACAATGGAAAATCTAGCTCAATAATTCCTGTGTACCAAAAGAAAAACGAAGATCAATGCAACTGTTTGTTTGGTCACTGTGGATAAAATTGGGTGAAATTAAAACGAGTTTGCATGGCAATTCCTTATTCAAATACTTGTGATTTGTGACAAATACTTGTACCCAGCATGAAACCTTTTAATACAGCACGAGCTTTATCCACTTTTAGTTGTGTTTGTCAAACACATTGTGATTAAAAATCGAAGTGGAAGAATATCAACCGTTTCAACCAGTCACAAGGCGACAGTCAGCAGTTCAAAATTAATTTTGCACTGAAGTAGAATCGTCACGTTAAACTTTATGGGATGTGGACAGGTGTTAAAGATTTGAAGATTTTCATAAAGTATTCGAAAGTGTATAACAAATGGCTGGTGATTTGGTGGTGATAAAACGAGTTTGCTCTGATGTGTTGTAAACCTTTTTACATTGTCTATCAGAGAGATTTAAGGCATTCATACTATTCACCTTGTAGCCGAATTGATTTAGCATTCATTCAACCAATTATCCATCGCCGTGCAAATGCCTCCTGGTTTTTGTTCTGCTCTTATCTCGGAGATTAGTCATTCGGCTATTCCTTCCCAGAAAAAATAATCAACAAGTACGGAAAGTAGAGTAGAGTAGAATGTGTGAAAGCTGCCATAATTTTCAGCATAGCGCTAAACTCTGTGAGATTTTATGCCACACAAAGCAGTTTTATTCTTTATCCTGTCACGAATAACTGATTGTACGGGGAATGTTACATTATGAAATACAAAGGAAGGAGGAACGAAAATCTAACAGATGTTCTGGTAATATATTTACTAATTTCATGGTGAATTATATTCTGTACAAAGTGATCGAAGCGTGAAGTGAAAAGTTAGGAGGCATCTCTAGGTGGCTGTTTTAGCGTAGTCGGTTCTAAGCACGGTCTAATAAACTGCCCATTGTCAAGTGCACAGGGTGCTTTCGTTCTACTTTTGAGGTTCCAGGTCCGATCCTTAGAGTGCTCTACAAACGAAGAAATCATTATAAAATCAAATCCTTCACCAATGTCATTTAATTAATGACTTATTTGATGCCGTACCAATTGATCCGGTCAGTGGTGCAATCAGTGAGTAGTTAGAATCTTAAAATTGATCCGAGATTTAGAAAAAATATATGCATATGTATATAACACAAAAGAGTCAATATCCGAACAAAATCAAATTTGAATAAAGATCTCGAGGTAAAATGTCAGTTTTTTTTTCCAAACTCACCGCCTGTGTTAGTCATGGGGTTCAACCAACGTCTGAAAAGATTCCCGGATGCGTCAAACACTTCAATGCTCACCAGAGATGGATAAGATGGAAGCAGATCGGGAGTGACCGGGATCACACGAAATCGCACCACCTGACTCTGATGATAGATGGGTTTGCTGACCTACAAGGCAGACACTCCGCTCTCGGCTCAGTGTGGTCAGCTTACCTGAATGAATAGTGACTCGGATTTAGGAACAAATTCGAGCTTTGTGCGGTTGAAGAAAAGTATTGAACTATTTGCGATAATCGATCCTTCAACGTGAAACCAATACGTATGGTTTCTGGTGTAGTCCGGGACCTAAGCGAGTGAAACAACAGACACGAATCAATGTGGTTTACAAACCGATTTTTGATTTATTTTAGAATCTCACGACCGAGCAAAATTATTTCTTGCTTTGTTAAAACATCTAGTGAACAATGCGACAAGTATTAATGAAAAAACGAAGGAAATTGGATTAATGTTTTAGTATGCTAGTCCTTCAAGATGTGGTACATTTTCTACAGGAAAAACCAGGTCAAAGTTTATAATACAATAATTGTACTGCTCCAAAATTTTCCTGAACGGTAAGTTTAACAGTCTTATTGGAAATTCTATTGAACATCGAAATGTTTATTTTTTGAATTTGGTAACGTGTTCTTTGATTTTTCTCAAAAATGATAAAATTATCTGAAACAATGATTTTGAGTAAAGAAAATAACGGCAAATAAGATCTCCGGTGCACATGCTTGTTACGCATCATTATATTCTGCGATTTTAGGGTACTGCTGGAATCAATTTGCCCAGCTTGATTTCTTCAATGCACAGGGATGAAGATCTGGTATGCGTGAGGACAGGCATTGGAACTCCGCGAAACAACCGCATAACGAAATATCACATCACATAAAAACTAAGTATAAAGCACTTATTGAGCTCAAAAAAGAAAACGGTAAAGGGTTAACAACCACTGAAAGGGGGGGAGGCACAGAATCACGAGTTATTTTATTTTATTTTGGGGCGCAATACTATCCGACTTTTCGTCACGTAATTTTTTAACCGAGTTCCATGTCTTATTACCCGGTTATAAAAGGATAGATGCGTTCCAAATTATTTTTAGTGTCAGGGAAGCAATAAACAGTTCTGATTAAACCTCTTTAGCCTAATTTGATTTCATCTTCTCCTCTCTATTTCTGTATAAGTTCCAGTGCGGAAACCCGTGTATCTCACAATAGGCAAGATGAGTTTCTGCAGCACTTGCTTCACAACTGTAACAGTAAAAATATCATAAATGCCCTATTCGAAGGAAAATAAATTATCATCAAATACGAAATCGATAGTCACAAAATTGCTGTGAATTCGCGCAGGTAATGGAAAATACATTGAAAATCACAGACGAGTTTTGTTTGGCTGGAAACGAATAAAAATAACAAAAAAACAACGGTTATGCTGGACTGTGGAAATAAAACATGACCGAAGAAATTACCTTGAGCTGCATTATTCTAGTTCCAGGAGATTTGAAAACTTCCAGTGCGGAAATAATTTCCTCATTGTCAATTTTGATGGACAGACGAATTGTCAGTTGCTCGTAGAGGAGTTGAAATATGGACACGGTCACCTGAACCAGTTCATTTGCTCTGATTCGATTCGGTGCCAGTATCATATAAGATCTAAGATGTTGTCAGGTTTATGGGGGAAACTGGTGGCACATTCACTTACGTTAGGGGCTCCAGTTGATAACCTTGTTGCTGTTGTGCATGACAGAACAACAGTGATCCATATAGAAAAATACAGAATAGGACGGCACAAATCCCTCTCATTCAGCTAAAATCAAAGAAGAAGGGGAAAAGTAAATGATCATAGTTTTAATATATCCTATATAAAACCGTCTCAGTTATTCTTCTTCTGTCCTGGACAAAGCAGAAAATTTCGTGTGGACTATTGTTAAAAAACATTTCGATGAGTGAAGTTCCAATGATCTCCAAGAGTTCTGTCATCACTTTAAATACCAAGTAAAATGTGAGCCCAAGACTGCCAGTTTATCACCAAGCAACCAGCCAACAGAGCAGTGACTTCTCAATGAACATCAAATTAAAATTTGTAAAACCACATATCTAGGTGTGAATGAATTAAATGTAGCCTTGAAATATCGTAGGAAATGGTCATGGCAATTTAAGTCAGTTCATACTTTGTTAACCTCACCAACAAGAGAACATAAACCCTTTTTCTGGGTACCACCTAAAATATTGTCGACTGTTTGATCTTGGTTACTGACCTCATAATTTCATTACTTGGTTGGAAAGTTCTTCGTCAATCAACCGCTGACGTTACCTTCTCCTGACCTGCAACAACGTGATTCAAAAGTGATCTAATTTCTCCCAAGTGCAAGGTGGTTCCTTTTAGTTTGAGAGAGCTCCTTCATCAAGCACTTTATTTGTTGTGTCATAAGGGAGATATAACTCGTATACAATCGCCAAATAGTACCATATCAATTGTAACTCAATTAAAACCTGGGTGAAAAACATCAAAAATTTGCGGAAACTATTGCCTGACTTTGAATAAATGCAGACCTGAGCGGACATATATGACGAAGGAATCGTAAGATGTGCTTCGTTGTCTGAAGCACAGTTGTAAATATCTCTAAACGAAGAATCAAGTGCGTGGGAAAAAATCATTGCTCCTTTTGGTCTGTTCAAATTAAATTTTTTCCATTCGGAATAAGCGTGTCATCTACCATTTTGCAACAGTTGTTCGATCATTTTGAGTTAGAAATTGAGGGTGTTAAATAATAGCAGTATGATACTGTTGTGGATGATCCCACTCGATCTATGCATGGTTTTCGTCCTTTTTGTGTTGAACAACGATTTGCCTACGTTTTCATCAAACTAACCAAATGCTTTTTGGAGGGTTTAAATTTTCCTGTCTTGGATGTAGTATTATTACTTAAGCTTTCCCTCCAGATACCAAAATTTTAGCTCCATATATTCCGGTACCTTCACCTAAGAACGTGCTCGGCGGTCTTAAACACTATGCTCGTTTCAGTCGGGTTTTTCTCTCAAGAGACTGCTGTCTATCCTCTCGACTAATCATCTCTCTTAAAATCTGTCCCCTGAGAACAAAGTTTCTTGCACACAATACTTCAGTCCCTTCAAAAACATTCCTATGAATTAACACAAGGTACAGAAGCTGTAAGATTCCGTTCTTTTTAGTTATCAAACATTAAGAAAGTCAATTGCTTATTCTGACTTAAGTTTCAAGAAAGCATGCTGCGTTGATTTCGCGAATTCAGCCCCAAGCCCCTGAATGACACGCTGAAGCACATGACACCCGAAAGAAAACTGCGGTCGGGGGTAAAAATCAGTTCTCAAGGAACGCTTGTCTTCAACACAGATTAGAGTACACCACATAGATAGGCAATCGTAGGATCCCGTGGCCTTTGATTATCATTATTATTTCATTATAAAACAAACATGGAGATTTGTAACGATAAAAAGTATCATAATAGACAAAATTTATTTATTTCTGAATCACATATTCGGCAGTATCAGAACAAGAATAAACTTCCTGTGTCTATTCAGAATATAGATAGTCTAATACAACGGATATGAAACCCTAATACCTTAGCTTTTAAGAAATTAATAACAATGCGCTGTAAAAATGTACGGTTCCCGAATGGCCTGACTACGTGTACGTTCACAAGTTATTTGATCTACACAAAAGATTTTTCAAGTGCAGAAAAAATAACACTGGAATATTCAAAAGATCGTCATGACAACGTTGTGTTAAGTTTTACAATGCTGGTTAAAGATCTGTCGGATTTCGAAGAATTAGTTGATAATTTAGAAGGAAAGTGTTTTGGTGACACAGTTTGCATTGGTTCATTTCAGTGAAGACTATTTATTTAGTGAAGGTGATCGAGAACACGTTAGTTACTATATTTAGGTAATTTTCTGACCTCTTCTGTTTGCATATGGACTGGTGGGAAACTGAGAAGACTCTCTCTCGGCGTCACACCGCCAATGTGATCTACGCTCAATGGAATAACTTTAGTTATTAAATACTGGATGCTACCATTAAAAAAGGAATTCCCATTACTGATAAAAAACCCTTAGTATTGTTATTCAAACTAGAGAACTAGAAAGTGGCAATTAAATGAAAACAACAGCTGCCTTTTAACAACGTTGCTGTTTATTGGCCTTGGTAGAACATTGTGCACTTTGACATGCACATGCATTCGAAGCCTCATATCAATCAGGGATGGGTTTCTTGGCTTTTGGCTGCAGCAATCCTTCCCTTGCATCTCGTGAAATGCTTCTTTACGATCATGTGCCTCAGATAGTCTCTACTGAGAAAGTCTTACTCACTGCCTTCCCGTGACGGAGGTGTTTGTCCACCAAAAACAGAAAGAGAAACAAACATCCGGGGCTAAAACTGGATTGGTGAACCACTGACAGTTCACTTGGGAGAGTTTGTTAAAAGTTCTGATTCCAAAAGAACCAGCAAGAGGCGTAAAAATCATACCCACACCCTCCTGGTTGTAGCATGGGGCCCCGAATTGATCCGGTACGAATGCATATAGAGCACCTTGGACGTTTCACCCCTTCTAATTGGTATATGATTCAACAAAGTGTATACCGCAACCCAATGGAATGTAGTTTTTACTCACCGTCTCTCTATCTTAAGAGTCAGTTATGATAAATACATTTCAAGATGAAGCTGTGATTATTTTTCTGAAGAAAATTTCCCAGTTTACTGACGTGTACTTTATTTTGTTGCCATTATGAGCTACTTCGGAGTCCCTATGAGCCTGGTGGACCTAATTAATGAGCAGAGCATTGTGGAATAGAATGCACATTGCAAACAGATACCAATGAAGAGGTGTAATGGTTTATTAACGCTAGCACAATTAACTACCAGTTGCATTATGAGTGTTTCACGATAAAGCGGTGTAAATCAGTTAAGACATTGGTGAACTATAGTAACTAATTATGGATTATTTCTGTTGCATGATACGTCCACAGGTTACATTGAAAACTGCTTAAAAATATGGTCTAATTAAAATATTTGCCTTCATCCCAGCCATTTGCACCCTTTCCACAGATGACAGTCATTGAGAAAACTAGGTCTGGCGATTAGCGACATTTATTTAACTTAAAGGTGGAGCAATTTTGGCTTGGTATGCATAAAACATCTTCATATTATTAACCCTCATCACCTTATTGGTTTTACCAGAGAATGTGTGACCTTAAATTTCATTCTTTCGAAAATATTTTATTCTCTTCGGAAAGATCACCATTTTCTTGAGAAACCACTTATGTAATTAACTAATTATGGAAATTTTTCAAAATTAGGCTTGATGGTTGCCTAGGTGGCTAGAACTACTAAAGGTGTAGCGCTACAGTCTTGAGGCTGAGATTGTTGCTCGTTGATTTCTTCTTGATTGTGTTTAACTTTCTGCCACTAGAGAAGGTTTTGAACTACGTGCACTTAACTACGAAGGTCATCTACAAGCTACTGATTTGTTACCATTTGCGTATTACCAATGTAAAGGGATATGGGTGTCCCAGAAGAATCCTAAGCCCTTAGTTGCAGAATTAATTCCCGTTGAAGAAAGAGCAACATACCTGAAAGCACCTTCTCACGTTTCAGAAGCTCTAGTCACTTGGTCGGCCTTTGATTTTTCTACTTTAAAGTAGATCAAACATTTAGTGCCATGATTAACCCTATCTGTATATGTATCCTTCTTTTCTTGGGTTGTATATTTTACCGGATCAGAGCCACCTAGTTTGTCATCTCACGCTGTCTTTCGCCTCATGTAGGTTGACTCACCTGTGCACTTCTCTCTTTCCGCTCTTCAAATTATCTCAATGCAACCGTCGTTGAGTTTTCTTCATACCAATAATTCTCTTTTAGTTCGTCTGATTGTATTTCATGGAAATCCTTGGTCTAGCTTCCAAAACAATCGTACGGAATTCCCTACCGGCAACAGTGGTGGGATAGGTGAATGACACCGCAACATTTGGAGGAGTGTCTTATAGGATTGTGGATGGAGGATTACATATGATTTGTTGTTGATGAGACATACGGGAGTATTGTGCTCTCTACCCTCGAAATTAAAGACATAAAATTGGCATAAGCCTCTATCGATACTGCATTTGTAGCAAAATGGCATCTTAGTTGAGAGTAACACTCGAGAAGATGGAACGAGACCTACACTGGATCAATGACCATCAGAAAATTTTTATATGACAAAACATCATTAATGCCCCAACTGCAGAAGACGTGAAATCGTAAAAATAATGGAATTTTCGTTACCGTCGGTTCAACAATACGCAAACATATATGTAATCAACCAGGAACTTCAGAAATAATGGAATATGTGGATGCTTCTATATAGAAGCTGTTTATGCATGCCTACGTTTAAGCGTAGGGGAATTCTTTATAAATATTTTGTTTATTATTTAATCTTCAAAAGCAATCAAATTTATTTTGGATATTTATCCTGTGAGCCGGATAATGCTTAGATTAAAATCAATTTTGTCAAAGCCCTAAAGTGGGAGAAAAGGAACCATATTTGTGGGATAAATACTAAACTTTCTCAAAATTTCGAGCAAGTCATTGTAACGGTTTGTTCTTCGGAAAGCTAGAAATTTGAGCAAATAAATTTTATTGATTATTTTTTATCTCTCAAGAAACATAAACTGAGTGCATATTCACACACACTCGCTGTATATATATATACATATATGTATATATATGTAAAACGAGGGAGAGAGAAAAACGAGCTGGAAGATAGACAGGTTTACAATGGCACTGTAAG